AAATAATCTAGTATTTGCTATTTTGACTACATAGGTTTATACATACTGTACATTGTTTTATTATAGCCTAATGTACGAGACGTCTACCCTCGTTGGCGGCTCGCGTAACAATGCTGCAAGTGGTAGCTAAAAACAACTGAGTATAGTCGCAAAATGTTGCTGGGGCTGTTTTGGGCTGACGCTTGCGTGGAGAAATGTTCTCCAACACAAATCAACAATTAATTTCCTCAAAACGTATACAAACGAAGAATGCTCCACCAGAGTTTCACTCAAATACAAAAAAAAAAAAAACATGAAACTCAAAATTTGACTCAGCATCCGTATTTCTCTTTGCAGTCAATGTTCTTTAGCATTTACGTTATATATGTATGCACGTACATTGGGGTGTCCCTTAAAATTTAACTTATTAAATTTCTTCGCAAAATGATTTTATTTTGTTCGTTTTTACCTATGTATTGTGGATTTAAAATTTGATTTTGATGTTTAAAAGTTCAGGTATGCTACAAGGGTACCGAAATGTAAAATTTTATTTTAATATGTGAGTGTGATTTTAAAACTCTAATACACGGCAATTGACAATAGGTTCGGCAATAAATCACATGCCATCGAATTGATCCTATTTAAAATTATAAAAAAATGATGTGAATTATTTTAACCGCACTTCATTTTAGTACCACCGTGCCCGGGAAAAGGACGTGCGTGCGTGCAATACGCAGCAGAAACGAAAGAGTGAAATTCAATTTTTACGTTTTGTGAGAGTGTATTTATAGTTACGGTGACCATCTATATAGTGGATGCAGAGGGTCACGCCCCAGCCAGAAGACTCCATTGTGATTTATTAGAGAGACCTTATGTACACCGTATCTACTTTCCCATGTAAATGGTTCATTTTTTTCCCTGCAAATTGAAGGATTCTTAGTCCGCTGGGCAATCGTCTAAGAGATGCTCGGGACTATATTGTCGTAACTAGGACAAAGCAGGACTATGTCAAAAAAAAAGTGCTCCTTCTGCTGTGGTAAAAATCATTAGAGGGAAAACCCTTTCTTTCTTCCATTTGAGGCAGAATTGAACAGTTATAGATTAGTTCACTTCAGTGTCAATGCTGTCTCCACGAATATTTCTATGCCTGGGAACGCAGATCACATTATTTTTGTATCACGTAGTCAAATCGCTTAGAACCATTCTTCCTTGAGTTGCTACCTTCGAAGAGGTATTGTTGCACTGTAGATATTAAACGATTTTTCTGATTTTCAGAGTAGACGATGATGGATTATTTCAGCTTAGAAGACACTACAGTACTCCGACTTTATTATTTAAATCAGAACCATTGATGAAAATTGAAACGGGACTAGAGTCTAGGTGTTGTTTACACTTCACCATACGCTCCTACGGTGCCCCTTTTTAATTTTTATAATTTATAATAGAAAACGAAGCTATTCACGCGATTTATGTCAAGGGAAATTACTCTCTGCGGCTGGTAATGTTTGCAAATGAGTATGTTTTCACAAAAAGATTTAAAATCGTTCTGTATTTATTGTATTATTGTACGTGCCCCTCCACACTTATTAAATTTTTTTCGAGAAATTTTGTAATATGAAGTTACTTACAAAAATATATTTCAAATAGTATATGGAAGTCAAAAAGCTTCGAGGTATTCTTTTTGGTATCTTAATGAGAAATGATCTGCTCTTATCTTCTTGATAAAAAATTATCAATTCAGGTAAGGAAACTAATGGCTGAATGAGCACAATGCAAAAAAAATATCCAGTCATCCAATATAAAACATTTAATAATAGTAAAGGGGGCCTTGCAGATTTAAACATAAATAACTTAAGTGATCAAACTGTTTGAATGATTTGGATTAAATTTTACGTTCACATAATAACAAACCGAACAAAACGCATAAGTCTCTAATTTTTCATAACCTTATAAATCTTTGTGGCACACCTGAAAATTATCTAATTATGCTGAAACCTTACATGCAAGTTCATCTTTATAAAAAGTAAGTAATTGAAACCCGTTCCCTAAGTATTCGGTATTTCTTTTTTTTTTAATTGGCCAATAAGGGGCACCCTAATGCACGTATGTATGTACATTTGTTGATTTGGCTGCTAACCAAGCGTTGCGAGTTCTATTGCTGTTTACATGCTGCATATGGTCATTTTCTACTTTGGTTATTTACTTATGGGGCAGCCAGGTACGCCTTGGGTCTTAGTGTGTGTATTTAGCGCTTCTGCTTACCTCACCGTTTGAGCTACAAGCAGGCAGGCAACACAGCAACCAAAACAAGTCCCACCTGCCATTAGTTTTCGCTGAGCTTCCTCCTCTGCTCGAAAGTATTTTCTTTTCATTGAAGAGTGCGCACGTTTGTTGTTGCTGCAATTATGTCACAAACCAGCCGGCTGGCTGTGTCATCGAGGAAAGTGATAGATACATACATACATACATACATAGCTATCGTTCGAGTGACGGTGTGAACGCAATTACGCGCAACCAAATATAAACAGATGCACATTCTACAATCATAAGTGTAAAAACATGTTTTCTCACCCGCTTCTAATTTATTAACAAATTTGCTTTTGTTTGGTGTTGGAGTTTGAGCTTTGGGTTTGAAATTAATTTTGACCTCGACAAAAAAAAACAACAGTAGCTGTGCAACAAATTACGAAAGCAAACTGGTGGTCAAATAAGGAAAATCTGGCGATATTTTGCATGAACCTCATATCACTTTTAATGCGAAGAGGCTCGTCCCAAGGGAAGTAAAACTTGATTTTCGGGTCTCAAAGGGGTGTATCATCGCCGCAGGCAACTTGAAAACAATGGTGGTAAGTTTTTTTCTAAGACAGTTTAAGAGCCGTTTAATTTTATGGTCATTGGTATTTTTCACAGTAGAAATTAGGTTTGCTCACCAAGCTACTCGAAGTCACTTCGAGTTACACATTAGGGGTATTCTCTGAGTCTTGCAAAGCCCTTGCACGGTGCACGGATTGCACGGTTTGCAAAGCTGTCCCATACGAAAACCGGTTTTTACCGTGCAATCCGTGCAATCTGTGCACCATGCAAGGGCTTTGCAAGACTCAGAGAATACCCCTATTGTTTACAAGCAAGTTTTAGAGTTTATTTGATATACGCTGACAGTTTGAACTTTGCTCGAGTTTTTCTACAAGTAGCTTGTGGAACAAACCATGATAAAAGCATAGTAAGGTAAAGAAACCGTTCTCTCAATGCGTCGACCATAATTTTTTATGATTTTTTTTTTTTTGAAGTTTGCCAACATTTTAAAATCGTATAAAATTGAGAGTAAAAAAAGGAACCCAACAAGCAAAATAAACTTAATGAAAGTTTCTTTTAAGTTTTCAATTATCAACATTAAGCTTACAAAACGTTGATTTTTTGTTTATAAAACGCTTGAAAGTAAGCGTAATATAATCGAAAAGGAACATTGGTTATAAGCGTAGAAATATAAACTTGTAATAAATGTTCAAAAGAAAGCTTTTTATAAGCGTAAAAGTGTAAACTTATAATAAAGGTTCAAAAAAGGTTGTTTATAAGCGTATGAATATAAACTTTCTAAAAATTTTCAAAAGAAAGCTTTTTATAAACATTTTTATAACCCTTTATTTAAAGATATTTCATTAAAAACTCATACATAGATTGGTTAACATCTAGAAACTAAACGAAATGCGAATTTTCGGCGCACTCATCTACAGTCGCGAAAATATAAATAGGGAAAAGACATTTTAGCATACAAATTCACGATAACACACAAAAATTAAGCATAAAAAAGTTAATTATTACATCTTGTTGCGTGCTTTCAATTACATGCGGTTATTGGCAAATTGGAAAAACGACATCGATGCAGCTATATATTCCGCTTCATCGCCGCCATTCTCATTGATGAACTTTTCTGAAAAAAATTTAATACGTTTTTAATTGAATGTTAAACTAAGAAAGGATAAGGAGAACTCATCATTTGAAGACTCGAATGCTCCACCGATTAGCGCAGCGGATCCTGGATTGGACTTTTTTTTACCGCATCGGTTTTATTTAATTTATTCTTTTAATAATATATTTTAAAAAACGTAAACACGTTACTTACGATTGAAAAAATGTTATATTTACTACTTCATGTCGTTGGCATTTGCATTTCATTTATAAGTTTAAGTTATTTATAAACATTCGCTCTCAAAACTTATTAAAAGTTTATTTGAAAAAACTTTTAATAAACTTAATATTAAAAATGCTTATTTAACGCTTATTATAGCAAACTTAATTTCAGTTATTTTTAAAAACATTTACTGAAATGCTTGTTGGGAATTGTTCAAAGTTGTTGTTGTTTGAGATTGAAAATGAGAATGTGTGTGTGAGTTTGTGTGTAAAATTTTAAAATTAAATTGCTTGCAAACGTCAAGAATTTGAAAATTTCCTCTCAGCGGTGCTACTTTCCTATTTTTTTTATCATGGAACAAACCTATTTTATTCAATGAAAAACCAAATAACAAAAAATCAAACATACTGGCATCTGAATCATCTTGGCTTTTAATTTTAATTACGTCTGTTCGAATAGATTTCCAGTGATAATTATCCAGTAGCAATTTGCCGGAAAGTAAACAACGATGGCCTTTCAAATCCAAAAATGTTTAAGTGACTTCAACTTAAAAACCATCAATAATAATTTCATTATGTTCATAAGTTGCAGTGAGATTACTGTTTTTCAGGCCGGTATATTGCTGCTGGAAAATTTTTTTCTCAGCAATAATTACCAATTTTCGCAGGTGTAACGGTACATATACAAATTCCCCAAAGAGTTGTTGGGGATGCTGAAGGGACAGACAGTCCTTGGCCAGGGATGAATCTATCAAAACACTCGCACGTGATTTTGTCGCTCGTACAGTAGTTCTAAAATATCTGAATTGCATATGGGTATTTCCATACGTCGCATACATGACAGTCATACATTTCAATGTGATACAAAAAAGAAATACCACTTGTTTTCTTTAACTTTTTTGGGCCATTGTATGGCACATAATTAGCTCTATATTTACGTGGCGTCACGTGACATAAATTTCTATCGTTATATTTTTGTTAATATTGCTTTTAAATGAACTTTTAACGCAAATAAAACATGTATTTTATGTCGAATATACTTTATATTTTGACTTCAGTGCCAGTTCAGGGCCAATTTGTTGGAAATCTATGATTTATTATATTTCAACTACCTACGCCAAATTCGAACCAAATCGGACCATAAATACAGTTTTTCGAAATATCTCGACCTTGGCGCCACCTAGGAAGACCCTTTTACGCAAACATGATTCTACTTACATAGCCAGTATATATTTTAAAAATCAGACAAATCGGCCCGTAAATTTCGTTAGATATAAGACTTTTATTTTTTTTTGTCGTGGTGGACCTTCCCATGGAAACACCCATATACAAATTAGTTATTTAGGGAAAAATAACAGTAGGTATGCTGTTGTGAAGCTTGAAAAAGGGTTTAATGCCGGCAAAAAGCTAAGTTTCCCAAAGATTTCGAATTAGTGGCATTCAACAAATCAAACGGAGGCAAACAAACTTGAGAATCGACAGCAGAAGTTAACTAATAAATCCTTAGATACATTATCAAGATACAATATTAAAAGTTGTTTTTGTTTATCATTCTGACCTGAAAATTATTTAAAATGTCGCTTGGTGGCCTGGGGAATCACTCGCTTTGCACACCTCTCTTCGGATCTGCCCATTGCTAAAAGGAATTTGAAAATATGCGTATTTGCCGATGGGTTAAAAAGTAAGTCGTTTGCTCGTCGACAAACAGTTACGAGCTTCACCAGTAACGCGATTGTTGCTTACTTTAGTAGACCTTTTAAATAGATAACCAGGAGTGGCTCTTCTATAGCTACTACCCTTCATTACATAAGAACCTTTGGCTTTCTGAGATATTTATGTTAGCTTATCTCCAACGATTTATGATATTGATGACTGATTATATTGTCAGATTGTGTAAATGAATCCCTTTGTAATTGCAGCGCGAACGCAAACAACGTAAACTCTATCTAGAAGAATGGACTCCTGCGGACGATGACTTGGAGGGTACACGAGGATTCAGCGTTTCAGAAAAACTGGAGTCCTCAAAGTTCGCACAAACTAGCATGGTTCGTGAGATGCGCGGTAGTGATTTGAGTGTGGCGTAAGTTTTTAATTTTGCTCTCAAGACCTCGGAAATCACTGATATAGTTGTTTATTCACTTTCAGTTTCCTTCAACAATATGGCTTCAATATTCCGTTATTATTTCGCGAAAAAGCCGACTTGGGACTACGTATGCCCGATCCCAATGAGTTTACAATAAATGATGTGCGTCTTTGTGTTGGTTCACGTCGCATACTGGATGTGATGGACGTGAACACACAGAAAAATCTACAAATGACGATGAAAGAGTGGCAACAGTATTATGATAATCCACAGAAGGATAGACTGCTTAACGTAATCTCGCTGGAGTTTTCCCATACGCGTTTAGATAATTACGTGCAATGTCCGGAAATTGTCCGGCAAATCGATTGGGTGGACGTTGTATGGCCGAAATGTTTAAAGGACGCGCAAAAGGAGGGTACAAATGTGCTAGGAGAAATGATGTATCCAAAGGTGCAAAAATATTGTCTCATGTCAGTGAAGAATTGCTACACAGATTTCCATATTGACTTTGGTGGCACTTCGGTCTGGTACCATATTTTGAAGGGGAGTAAAGTTTTTTGGTTGATACCTCCAACAGAAAAAAATCTGCAATTATACGAGAAATGGGTATTATCCGGCAAGCAGGCGGATATTTTCTTTGGCGATACAGTGGAAAAGTGTGCACGGGTTTATTTAACAGCGGGTAACACTTTCTTCATACCAACTGGTTGGATCCATGCAGTTTATACGCCTACAGACACACTTGTATTTGGTGGCAATTTCTTGCATTCCTTTGGTATTGTTAAGCAACTTAAGACGGCGCAGGTGGAAGATGCGACCAAGGTTCCCCAGAAATTCCGGTACCCTTTTTTCACCGAAATGCTGTGGTATGTCCTAGCACGTTATGTTTACACACTGCTTGGTCACTCTCATCTGGAGGGCGAGCCTTCGGTGAGTGAAGAGGAAATGGCCAAGCGCGACCATGTACACCTCACACATTATGAACTTTTCGGACTGAAAGAGATTGTCATGTATTTGTATGACCTGCCGCCACAGAAAAAAAATGTGCCCGAACTTGTACGAGACCCAGTGGCATTAATCAAGGACGTACGTACGTTGGTGGAGCGACATTGCAAGGATAAGCCGGAGTTAGCAATAACTGGCGAATCGGTGCTAAAGCCGCCCGGTCAGATGCATCCCACATTTCAAATGTATGATCGCGCCACGGTCAAGCAGGAAATCAAGGCAGAGATTGCGCGTAAAAATGCAGAAATCATACGTGAACAACAGCAATTGGATGCAGCGAATGCGGCAAATTTGGCAGAAAACTCATCAGTTAATAATGCGATATTAAATAAAAGCGATATCAATTCAAAATCCAATGTAATTTGTTTGGCCAATGTGACGGATAATGGTGGTGTTATTGTAAAAGAATGTAAGAAGGAGCCCATCGAGAATGGCACACCACAGCCAGGTAAGAACATTTACAAATCAATACCTTAGCATGATAACTTCGAAGTTAAAGAAATCAATGCGGTTCAATAATTGCATTACGCGACCCAATGCTCTTGCGTTACATATGTGTTTTTTTAGTTAATTGTTTTTAAACTTCGAATACTGAAATTTCAAACCGATTTTCACCTCTTATTTGTTAGTAGCTAATACCCGGCGAGTTTCGCTTAACTTTAAAATTATTTTTGTCTTGTTCCCAATGTGAAAGTCAAACAACTTTTGAGAAAGGTCAAATTTTTCGTTTACAACGAGCGGTTAGTATAAAAACGTCCTACTTTTTGAAATTCAAAGCACCTTCGATGCACAGCTGAACTCTTTGTTCGATGTTTCTGTGTTGTAAGCTCAGTTTTGAAGGGTTGTAAGTTTGTTTAGTTCGTTAGATAGCGTTGTATTCTAAAAAAAAATCATTGGCCAAGGTAGAGGATACCTGTGCTAAATTATTCAAATGTGATGATGTATTTCATTAATACTTGTTTCCATTTTTGCTTTTAGCTACATTCGTGTCTCCCACGGACAGCCTCAAGTATCGCCCGCCTAAGAAGATGCACCTCGCTAATGCTGTCGCTGCTGCTGCTCATCAAGCCAACAATACAGTCAGTGTTATTGCTTCTTGTTCAAGTTACAATTCTGCATCAGTTGGGCATTCAACAACCACAACAACAACAAGTTCGACGGTAACAACGACAACGACGGGGTCCAATCAAACTATTTTACACTCACATTCACAGTCCAGCACACACAACGCCAGCAGCAATGTTAGTGCTGCTGAAAGCTCCTGCTTCTCGCCGAATGAATCGAAGCTGTCACCCAACGTGACTGGTACAGGACAACCACGTCGCCGACGAACACGTTGTAAAGTTTGTGCCGCTTGTCAGCGCTCTGACTGCGGCGAGTGCAGCTTTTGTTTGGATATGGTAAAATTCGGTGGGCCCGGGCGTGCCAAGCAGACATGTATGATGCGCCAGTGTCTGTCGCCTATGCTGCCGGTTACTGCGCAATGTTTCGTTTGCCATTTGGATGGTTGGCGTCAAGTGCCCGTGTCGCCGCAAACGAAGCAATTGGCATCACTAGAAGGACCATCATCGCTAATGGAATGTTCGGTTTGCTATGAGATTGCGCATCCTGATTGCGCACTATCGTTGTTGGATGGCACCGAAGATGCAGCAGATGCTAAAGGGATAGTGAATGAGGACTTGCCGAATAGTTGGGAATGTCCGAGCTGTTGCCGATCGGGGAAAAATAATGACTACAAGGTACATATGTATGTTGTTAGTTGAGTTTATGTGCTGTATTTAGAGACGCATAATGAAACACGACTATGATACAGTTAATTTATAAATTAGTTTAAAATAGCCCATCGCTGAGTTTAAAACCATGTGCTAATTCTGTTACAGCCAACCTTTCTTGACTATGATTGTGCATCAATAATTGGGAATGTTTTCTAAACACAAAAGCTATGAGCTCTTCCAATTCATTCTAATTATAATGAGTAATCCCATAATTGAAACAACCAATTTTAGAAATAGTTCCTGTAAACGTTTGCATTAGTCTTTTTTCAAAATACATATCGTTAATGAAGAACCAACACAATTATGGTTCACTAAAGAGCTTAAAAAATTTAAAAATAAAAAGTCACATTCTTTTGAGCTGTATAAAAGAACGGACTCACACAGTGATTAAATAAAGTACTCGGTTTTGCGGCAAAGCTATTTTGCATTAAATAAGAAATATTTATGTAAAATTAAAAATAATTTAATTAACAATCCCAAATCATTTTATGATTTCGTAAATTCAAAGCGTAAGGCACATGGATTTCCGTCCGCTATGCACTATTGCAATACTGTCTCTAGTGACAGCCAGCTCATTGCCAACATGTTTGCCCAGTTCTTTAAGTCCAATTATTCGGTAGACTCCTCTACGAGTGAAGACTATCCGTATGAACTTTGTACGATTAACTCAGCTTATATTCCAGTAATTTCTTCCGATAAAGTTGTACTCTATTTAAAAACTTTAAAAGCGTCATTTAGGCCTGGACCTGATCATATTCCGACCTGTTTTCTTAAAAACTGCGCTGAGAATATCTGTGAGCCTTTAACAACTCTATTCAACTTGTCACTAAAACATGGCATTTTTCCGTCAGCTTGGAAGGAATCTTTCAAAGTACCACTTTACAAACACGGCAGCAGGTCCTCTATAGAAAACTATTGAGGCATAGCGAAACTCTCCGCTATCCTCAAATTATTCGAAGCAATTATTGCTAATCAGCTGACATATTCTATATCTTCTTCAATTTCACAATCCCAATACGGGGTTTCTAAAGGAAAATCAACTATCACTAATTTATTGGAGTTTACAACTCATGTCTCAAACGGTTTTAGAGAAAATGCTCATACCGACGTAATATACACTGATTTCAGTAAAGCTTTTGACAAAGTATGTCACTCGTTACTCATCCGTAAACTCGACCTAATCGGCTTTCAGCCCAGTCTTCTTCAATGGATCTCATCTTACCTCTCTGATAGAACACAAAGAGTTATTGTTAATAATGGTTCTTCCAACATCATTAAAGTTTCTTCAGGGGTTCCTCAGGGAAGCCACCTTGGTCCGATTCTGTTCCTGATATTCATTAATGATATTTCTTCTATAATAAAACATTCAAAAATTTTAATGTATGCCGATGATGTGAAACTTTTTAAAACATTGTCCTCAATCGAAGAGAAAGGTCTTTGTTACAAGCGGATCTGAAGAACGCGGTGTTAGTTGGTGTAATACAAACTATATGCCACTAAACCTTCAAAAATGTAAAGTTATGTGTTTCTCTCGGAGGGCTGTTCAACCAGCTGTTTATTCAATATCAAATTATAATCTGGAGCAGGTGTCCAATTTTGTCGATCTTGGTATCACAATGGATTCCAAACTCAATTTCAACCATCATATTAATGTCACTGTCAATAAAGCCAATGGCGTTTTTGCATTTGTAAGGCGATGGTCAAAAAAGTT